TCTCACCTGCAGAGATGTCCTATGTAGCAGCTCCCTCAGTCCTCAGGCTCATTCTGATCGCTCAGGAAGCCTGTGCCACACTGGCTGAGTTGTGAAACTTCCCTGCTATGGTGAAAAGGACTCCAACAGGGATGGCACCAAACCTGAGGTGGCTGTGTGGGAGAAGGAAGTGAGCTAGGGAAGTGCCCCTCTGGTCTTGCTTTCCAACTCTAGGAAGGACAGCTCTGGGCTCTGAGAAAGAGTAGAGCAGAGGGTGCAGAGGGTGCAGAGTCTGATGAGGCTATGGAGGTTCTGCTGAGCTCAGCTAGGAGCTGTCCTGGTGTGGCAAAGCTCTGAGGTTTGGAGTCTGGCAATTGGAGCAGTGCCTGGCAGGCATCTTCCATGCCATCTTCTCCTCGGGTTATTATTCTGGGAGCAACTGGCACTCTGCTAGGGAAGGTTCCATTTTCTGGTGTTTCCTTAGCAGAGAGAAGATTCTTCCCAGTATCTTCTGCTGTCTCTGCAATGAGATGCTTTCCACAGCTTGAGTCATCAGACATGGCCTGTTTTGTTCTCTAGGGCTTTAGAGTTGCTTTCTTCTTTTATTGATAGCTAGTGTTTTGAAGAAAGATAATTGATAGTGCATACAGGGGCCTCTTTTCAGTAAGAAGGTCAGGCCAAGCAGGGCTTCTGATTTTTCCTCCATGCCTTGCTGATGCAGTCAAATGCTCTGAAATATCGAATTTTCCAGATGTGGAAACAGATGCTCAAGAGTCCTTGTAATTGAAGAGGTAGAAAGGATCGGCTGGAAGTCCACTATTTGGGGAGTGGCCCCAAAGTTGGAGACCATTAGATACAGAAGCACCACAGAGACCATCTAGTCTAACTGCTTGCTCTTGCTTCTGTGTTTCAACCACTGTGTGGCTGGCTGACAGCTGTATGTTGATCGTGCATGTTCCTATGAATGTCCCCACGGGGAGTCTACTGAGTTTCAGCCCAGGCACAGCTTGCTAAATGGTCAGGATGAGAGTCTTTGGTGGAGAAGCTATATAGCAGAGCCAGCTACACATACAGGTTGAGCAGGGCTCTCTCAGACATCACCAGAGAGTCTGGGTAGGTTAGATGCATGGGATTTAAGAACCAGCATCAAGAGTTTTGCCCTAATCTTTCCTTGATTGGAAGCCTCTGATGAATTTCAAGCAGGATCTAGGCCTTCTGCTCAGTTGCTGCTGCCCCTGCCCTGTCCTAGCCCCTTCTAGCTCCTCCCCTGGAAGATTTTAGTAACCCCCTCACTGCCTTCTCTCTAGTTTCATCCATTCCCAAAATACTCCACTACCCACCCAGAGACTTTCTTTAATACAAATCTACTTGTGCCCCTCTCCTTTTAAAACGTGCCCACCAGGCATGGTGGCTCACATCTGTAATCCCAGCACTCTGAGACTATAAGGATCACAAGTTGGACCCAGCCTGAGGAATCTAGTGGCTTAGTGAGACACTGTCTCTAAATTAAAACATTTTTTAAAGGGCTGGAAATACAACTCAGTGTCAAGGCCTTTGGCCAAATCCCCAGTATTACAAAATGAAATAGAACACAAAAATTTTGTAGTTCTCTGCTGTTCATAGGACAAGACCCTGCCTTAAATGGTGCTGGGTGGCCTGGCCCCACTTCCTCTTGCAGACCCAATGCCTGCTACTGTGCCTTGCCTTCCCTGGCACTTTGGTCTCTTAGTAACTATGCTGTTAAATCACTCATTGTCTTTGTCCAAGTGCTCCTCTCCTCCCACCTTTGAACTCCTATTTATCCTTCAAGTTCCAGCACAAATTTCTGGCTAGAAGATTTCCCTCATCGTTTTGAGGCTACCTAAATGCTTTGGTCATGTTTCTGTTTTGGGGGAAGGGTTTGGTGGTACTGGGGATTGAACTCAGGACCTTGAACTTGCCAGGCAGGTGCTTATTCTACTGAGCTATCTCCCCACCTCTGTTTCTGTTTTGAAACTCATATCACATGGCAATTATCTTCTTCCAGGATCCTGCTGCTCCCATCCTGAGTGTTTCATGTGTGCAGGCCCTGAGCCAAGCCCTGAGGCATTATTTCACGTTATTCTCACAGCAGCCATAGCAGGTGCATTTTATTCTAGCCCCACTTAAAGATGAGGATGCTAAAACTCAGGGAGGTAGCATGACCTGACCAAGGTGTGTGGCTGAGGAGTGTCAGAGCTGAGATGTGAGCAGATTATCTGTTTGATCCTATTTCATCCTATTTTCTGGATCTCCATTAAAAGGCCCTCAGGAAACACTGGTCAAGTGAAGGACCAGTCAAAGTGGTGGATATAGTGAGATTTCTGGGGGTGGGTGAGATGACGAAATGGAGAGTGAAGGGGGGCCAGGATTTCTCAGTGTAAAAGAAATGAGACACTATTAGCCCCGCTCCCCCTGACGTGGGGCTCCTTTCCCCTTCCATCCAAGTGGCAGCCTCTGGCCCCCTGGGGATAGGCTTGTGGGACTCAAGGCTAAGCAGGTGGCATGGTAACTAATGCCATGGCAACCTGCCTCCTCTCTGGGGCCCAGAGGAGAGAGAACCTGAGAAGGCACAGGGTGCACACTGAGGCTTCTGAGTAGGATCCTGGCTTGGTAGTTTCCTTTGAGCCTGGGTGGCTTCTGCCCTCCCATGAGGGACCTATCTGTGAGGTCCTGTCCCAGCAGGGGAAATGCTACTTCCACCTCTGTCTCAAAAGGATGATTGGTTCCGGCTGATCCCAAGAGACTGTCAACTGCGTCCAGGTACAGAACCATCCTCTTCCCAAGCCAGCCAGGGAGGAAGGAAGAGGGAACTCAAGAGGAGGATGCATTGGGTTGCCAAACAAGGTAGTAGCAGAGCCAGAAGGAACAAAAGACTTCATTGTCCCAGGCCACACATAGCTCTAAGCAAGTCTGGCATCTTGCCTGCCTCCCAGGACCTAGCCCCAATCTCTACCTGCAATTTTCTGGCTTCTAGCAACAGCCCCAAGCTGGCTCTACAGAAAGAGATCTGTCCTAGGGTGTGAGTCCTACCTTTGTCAGCAAATCATCCTAGATGCCTGACCTCCTCTTTGCAGTCTCTCAAAAGCCAGGAGAGTGGACAGTGGTGATAAAGTGGCCAGAGGGGCAGGCAGCATGGGCTAGAAGCCAGAGCTCAACAGAACTGCAGCTGTGTGACCTTTGATCTCAGGCCTCAATGAGATCCAAAAGCTGTTGAAAGTCATGCGCTTAGGCACACCAATGCACTCATCAGGGTTGCTCCCTGACCACAGAGGAATCAGTCAGTGACATATAATCCTTGAAGCTCTGGCTCCCCATAAGGGAAGATGCCTGCCCACCCACCCTGGCTACTCCTATTCCAAGTTTTTCTGTGGCCAGGAGGATTCAGCCACTTGTGGCCCTAGGTGGAAGGGCACAGCTGGCTCCCACTCCAACCTGCCTGGTGGTTCCTGTTGTAGGGAACAGCCCTGTGTCCACTGGACCTGCCCAGGAACCTGAGGCATGATGGGTGGGGAGTAATGCCAGCCTGGGTGAGAGCTCAGGTGACAGGCATGGTGCTGGCAAATCCTGTAGCCCAGCACCCAACACCTCTAGGCAGACAATGCTGGCAGTGTCCAGCCCTCCGGGGAACAGGCCGTGTTCTGTGTCACAGCCAGGAAACAGGCCATCTGAGCAGCGCTTTTGTCTGCTCAGGAGACAGCCCTGCCACCATGCAGAAAGACCAGGCTCCTGGGAGGTGCGGTGTGGGAAGGGGATGGTCTAGGGCCAGAAATTCCAGAGTTTGGGCTCCAACCCCTCAGCACCTGATGCTGGTCAGACAAGCACATGTTGGGAGTGATCTGGGCATGTCCCTTCTCTCTCAGTAGCTCTGATTCCTCACCTGTAAAGGGGACTAATCACAATACTTCCTTATAGGGCTGTTGGGAGAAGTCAGTAGCAGAATGTACGTAATGTGTGTAGCATGAGCTCGATCTGGTGTGTGGCTGGGTAAATGCTTCTCTCTTAGCATGGGGGGGTGGTGTCGAGAGGACAACATCCTTAGTCAAATCTCCTACCACCCAGCATACTGTCCTCAGTCCCTGCTCTGGATATGGAAGGAGGGGGCATGGGTCTCTGTAACTGCCCCAGAACCAACGCTCTGGCTGCAGAGAGCTCAAGCCTGTGCATCGGACTCTAGGAGCTTTGTGCTGATGCCCTCCCTGCATGCCCTCTTCCCCACACAGCCTCAGTTCTGTCCAGCATGGGGCCTCTTCCCTGCAATACCTCACCCTTGCAGCCCAGGCCCCAACCCAGGAGAGCCAATGGGCCTGAGTCTACCTACCCACTTACCAAGAGTCTCTCCTGGCATGGACTTTTGCTGCTGGGCCACCCAATGGGATCCCTAGTAGCAGGTAGGGAGGACTTCTGCTCCTGTCAGCTGAAGGCTTTTACCGCGTTCAGTCTCATCAGTGTGTTTCTGGAAAATGAGGAAGTCAGCATTGCACAGATGGCTATGGGAGGCATGGAGCGATCAGGCAAGCATGGACGGGTAGCTGCATGTCCTGTGTTGTGGGCAGGTGCCTGGGCATGCTCACAGGGATGGGTGCTACACATTTTGGAATGTTAGGACATGGTACTGTTTCGTGGTCATATACATCCATATGTCTTTCTACATGTGTGCTGGTATGTTGGTCTGTCTTGTCTCCCCTATAGACGGGAAGCCCTGAACCACAAGCCAACTGGGAAGGTGATGGTTGACAAGAACAGCCCAGCCTAATTTGGGGTTCCTGGTTCTGCCCCAGGAGCCCTCCAGCCTGCAACATTTGCCAAGGAGGGAGGACTGAACGGCAGGGAGGCAGGGGTCTGAGTGTCAGGGACCTGGGAGAAGCGGGTCGGCTCACAGAGTAGAAGACTTGGAGCTGCACCGGGGAACAGGTTCCTGCTGTCCTTGTGATCTTGTGCAAGACCTGCACCCTGTCTGGGGCACATTCACTCATCTGGAGAACACCGGGTTGGACTGATGACTTCCCACTGCCCCTGAGATTTTGACCATCGATCGTGACTCTAAGTCAGGTGGTGGGAGGCTGTGCACCTTCCTGTTAAATTCACTGGTAGAGGTGGCTGTGGCCTGAGCCTGGTACTGGGGTATTCTGCTGAAGGGTGAGAGGAGAAGCTATGCCTGGCAGTGGCCCCAGCGAGAGGATGACATGGCCTGGCCCGGCACTCCCTGCTGGCCCCCCAACCCGTCCTCTTTCCTCAGCCCCAGGGACACCGCCCATCCCACCCCTCACTCGGACCCGCAGCCTCATGGCCATGTCCCTGCCAGGGAGCAGACGGGCCTCCGCTGGATCCCGCAGGTGAGTCTTCACTTGCCCTGAAGCTCTGCTGCGGGGTGAGAGAAGGTGTCCTCTGTCTCCCCTGCCACTGACTTACACTGGGACTTCCAGCAAATCATACCCCCCTTTCCCATCTTCAACATGGGCTTGAAAAGATTGACCTCCTCTGGAACTACTTAAGTGCTCAAATGATGTGTGGATACAAAAGTTACCTGGAGGTTCAGATCACTGGATTCTACCAGTCCCAGCTCATAGACGTTGCTGCTAGCTGGAAGGATGCGGAATCCACTCCACTTCACTTCACTCCGCCTCCCCATTTTCACCCCAGAAACCATTCTTCCTGTCCCACTCCTACGTGCCCCATTCTTTTCCCCTAAGTCTGTGCTGGTTTCTCTCCCAGGTTTGAAGGACTCTGAAAGTTGGGCTTTGGGAGGGATATAGAGGCCCCACCCTTATCCTGCAGCCTTGCCCAGTCCCTGCCTTTGCCCTGGGAAGCCAGGAGGACCAGCCTCTTCCTGGCTTTCCATCTTGACTTGCGCTGTCTGTTCTGTCACCCTTGTCTGTGCACCTCCCGCTCCTCCCTGCTTGTCTCCCTGCTGGTGACCCTGAAGTGGGGGCGCTTTGAGCCGCAGCGGCCTGGCAGTGTTTGCTCAGTGCCCACAACTGCCCCCCAGCCAGAATGAGCACCTGCCTCTTCTCCCCGCCTCCAGGCGCACCTCTCCACCCGTGAGCATGCGGGACGCCTATGGCACCTCTTCCCTCAGCAGCAGCAGCAACTCAGGCTCCTGCAAGGGCAGCGACAGCAGCCCCACCCCCAGGTAACTGCCCTACTGCCAACCAGTCTCTGAGCTGGCCAGGAATCGTGGCTCTGGGTTAGGTGGCCAGCATGTTGTTCTGATTGTCCCCAGCTCCAGCCCTGACTTACTGGCTGTGAGAGCTTGAGCAGGTCACTTCACCCCTCTGAGCCTCAGCTCCAGTCTATAAATTGGGTGTAACACCCACAACACAGAAGCAAAAGCAGTGGCTTGAACAAACGAGGGTGATGCTTTCAGAACAAAAATGAGAGAGGTAAGCTGCTCCCTGAAGCATTGCAAGGCCTGTGTCCTCTCTTCCTGTGCCACTGTCATTGGAAAACAGCTTTTGTCTGCATCATTACAAAACAGCTTCTGTACTACCAGCCATTAGGTCATCCTTTCAGGAAGGAAGAAGATAGAAAAGACTAAAGCTCTGCCCGTATCCTGCCTGGAATTGGGTCATGTGACTGACTAGATGCAGGTCCCCTTAAGTACATAGAAAGTTAGTGCCCCCATGCACAAAATCACAGTTCTGTTGGGAAAAGGCAAGATGGGAATGGGAGGCAATCCCAGAGCTTGCCAGCTTGCTCTTCTCAGGGGACATTTTGAAAATAGTAGAGGTGACATTAGAAACACAGCCTGTGCTAAGTTTAATTTCAGGTATCATGGACCAAGATTTGAAGAGCAGAATTAGGTTGGAGAGGCAAGTGAAGGGGACCTGTGTGTCATGGAAGGCTAAGAGGTAAGAGCCGTGGAATCATGGCTCTGTGGTGTTAAGAAATAGTTGGCAGTAGGAAAGTGCAGGGGCAGCCATGGCCTTACAGTCAGATACTTCCTGTGTCTGAGTCTCCATTTCCTTGTCTGTAAAATGGAGCTAATAACCCAGAGACTTCAGTGAGTTGGTATCTGCAGACCACATATCCTAGATTGCCAGTAAGCACTGTTCTGGGACTTTAGTCTGTGCTCTTTTGTCTTAAAGGATGTGGGCAAAGAGACCAGGAAACACTTTCTGGGGAGCCTTTTTTGTTCCTTCCTTGGGGAAGACGTCAACTGTGCACAGTGATGTCCAGAGCTTTGGAAGCAACAGTTGTCAGAGTTTCTACTGATAGATTTTTGATGGGTAACAGGCATGGACAGGACCTGTAACCCAGCATCCTGGGCTTCACCTGACCTTCTCCCAGGGCCCAGGGGACAGGAGCGATGTATTAACTTTTCTATGTAGAAAAGTGTTATTACTGGGAACATCAATGATTTTTCATTAGTAACAGATTTTTGTGAGTATCCCATAACTGTAACCCCTGGGGCAGTCCCACTCTTCAGACTGAGCGCTGCCTCTGAGGAAGGTCCTCGTGCCTACCATGAGGGTGACTGTCCCTGGGACCTCACTGCAAATAGCCAGGCTTTCCAAGGTATAAGTAGCGGAGAGGTATGCACTATAATATGTTTTACTTCTCAGTCATAGATGGATGGATAGATAGACAAATAGAGATATAAGATACATATTCACATATATGTTAAATATAATTTTTTGAAAGATAGAGCCAGTGACTAAAAATGTGTGTTAAACATTTTGGGGGAAATACCCATAAAAACAAATGGAAATAAAACAAAAAACAATCACAACAAAAAATGGAAAGAGTTAAAAGTTATTTTTCTCTAATTTTTTATTCTTCTAGTTTAATTAATCTTGGTTCTGCCACTACCATCACCACCTACCTCATCCCAGTTATGGGACAGACTGCTTTATATTCATCATAGGTCTATGTCCCTCTGACCAAAGCCCTTGCAGGGCCAGCAGATGCTTCAGGATGAGTGTACGGGGCTTTTGCACTGTTTCTCTTTTAGAAAGCTATTTCTTAGATCAGAGGGGTGACCCCAAGCTTTCAGCCCACACCACCACGTTGCCCCTTGTGAAGCAAGGATATGTGTGACTTGGCTTGAGTTAAACTTGGGGGCCATAAGGTGAGCCAGTGCAAGAGAACAGCATTTCTCCTTCCAATCCTGCTACTGTGTTCTCAATAGTCACAGTCTATGCACAGTTTTTCTTCAGTAAACAGTACAGAGCTCACATGAAACCCTAAAAGTTTCCTCCAGCTAGGCTGCATTAGCAAAGGCTGGGCCTCACCAGGGGCTATCTCACCAAACCATATCTGCCCGTCTCTGGAGCAGAGTGGGATGGCAGCAGGCCTGAGTCTCTAGTCAGGTGGAAATGTGCCCATGATTTTAAGCTGAGATCCAAAGCATTTCTTTACAAACAGAAGAACCAGCAGCCAGGAAGCCATGGGTGGAGACATCTAGGCCACACTCTGTTGTAGAGTCAGGGTGTTCTCCTTTCCTGGAAAGCTTTGACCCACTCTCACCGCTGACATGCTCATCCTCTGGGTGGAGATTCCTCCCTGCTGTCTTGGAGGAATCAATGTGCTGTGTATGTGCCACACAGAGCCACTAACAGGCACAGAACTGTGCACACCCAGCCTGCTGCAGCACAGGGCTCCACTGTTGACTGCCCATACCCAGACCAGCAAGTGTCCGTGCAGACACACACACACACACACACACACACACACACGAGCAGGGGTTGTCCTGGCACATGAGATTACCCATGAGGGCAGCAGGAAGAGGAGGCTTCTCAGGCACTGTCTGTGAACATATGTATCGGCAGCACACACAGACCAGGAATATCCACACACTTAGATGTGTACTCCCAGTAAGTGCACAATTAATGCACACCTGCATGCATGTGAGGGTGGGCAAGGGGAGTGTGCACTGGATATGATATGTGTGCTAGGACAGCTCTGCTCATGCCGGCAGTGCCTGCACCAAGTCTGCTTTCTCAGATCCATCCCTGCACTTGGCTCTGGAGAGGAAAGCCCTCTACCATGTCTCCTCTCCAGACACTTTGTCCTTACTTACATGAAGCCTTCTTCCCCATCCCAGGCCTCCAGCCCTGTGCTCACTCTCAGGGTTCAAGTCTGGAAAGCTAGGCTCTGTGTGCCCACTAGGATGGGCTGTGAGTTTAGGGAAAGAGCTCATCTCTGTGGAGCCAGCAGCCTCTGGAGGACGGAGGCTTCCCCACACCCAACATTGCTGTGATGACAGCACAGACAATGGTGGTGCACCAGGCTCATGTGCACTGAATGCAACACCCATGCACTTTCCACCCCTTCCTCCCCTATCCCCTGATGGGCATCCACTTGCAGGCGCTCTATGAAGTACACACTGTGCAGTGACAACCATGGCATCAAGCCGCCCACCCCGGAGCAGTATTTGACTCCGCTGCAGCAGAAGGAGGTATGCATCCGGCACCTGAAAGCACGGCTGAAGGACACGCAGGACCGGCTCCAGGACCGGTAAGTAGGCAACTAGGACATCCATAGGGTTACCCCCAGCTCCATCCCCACAGGAACCAAGGACCTGGAATAGACCGGAAGGAAGAAGTAGCTGGGGCTTTCCACCATTCACCTGCACTCTCCTTTCCTGCAACAACTTGTCCAAACTCACTGCACACACACTCCTCCAACTGCCCTTGACTGCTCTAGGTAGCTACTCAGGCTAGGTGGGGAACAGTTTACCTGCAAAGGGCCTGTCCCCTCAACCTTTCACCTGTGCATACAAGGGTGGGCAAGAGAAGCATGCATTAGAGAGGGAATTTAATTGCTTTGCCTGCACACCAGCTGCACCTGCACTCCCAGGGCTCCAGAGAAGAAATCTTTCTCCACCCCATGTCACTTCAGTGATGAGATGAGTTCTTACCCTCCACACCTTCCTGGATCCCACCTCTCTGTCCCTGCAAACTATTGCTACCTCTGTCTATGGATTGGTCCCTTCTGGATAGCTCAGAATGCATGGCCATGTCTTTCTCAACCAGAGTCCTGCCTAGGATACAGTTCAGTCTGGATGTGTTGTGGTTTGGAAGGAGTTCAGGGCAGCATTTCATTGGCCTCTTTGTCTTAGAACTAGGAATTCTATCTCTATGTCCTGTCATCTTTCTAATGACGCCCAGGAGCTGCTTGGCCTTTTTCTCTGATGTTCTCAGGGAGCAGATGGCCATCTCCAAGCTTTCTTGTTAGGTTAGCTACACTGGTCAGAGCAGACCACCAGGCCCCAGATTAGGCCTTGTGGTTTGAGCAGGATGACTGTGGGGGCATGCTCACGCTCACATCTCAGTCTGGGTAACTCTTGCAGGAGCCCATGGCCATGCCACTCCTCCCCATTCTTCACAGCCTCTGATTTCCCTCACAGCCTACCTTCTGCTCCGATCTTTGAAGAGGACGTGTTGTGATGCCTCTTTGCACCATTATGTGGTGTGGCCACCACCCTTTTCGCCCATCTTGCTTCCTTAGCAACCTCATCCTTCAAGAACCAGTTCCTGTGTAATGCTCTGCAACCCACTGAGGCATGGACAAGACTGGGGAGCTGTTGTGCTGTGGGACTTAGCTGGCACTAAGGAGAGAGGAGCAAGGACCAGCCAAGCTGAGCATGCCCACTGCCTTCTTCCAAACTCACCTCTCCTAGGGTGAAGTGTGAGTGAGGAGTGGGAAGAGAGGCCTGGAGGGTTACCCTGCAATGAGGCCCCATGTGAGGCAGGAACAGTGATGAACAGGCATTCCCCCTACCTGCTAGAGCATCTGCATTGCCACTGTGAACAGTTCTGGTGTACTGCCCCCACTGGATTGCTGAGTTCTTTGTGTCATAGGCCCCCTCCCCAAAGATACTGTGGTGACTGTTATGGAGTTCTGAGACCCATCAACCTCATTACCTTTAGAAAAACATCGAATGAGATTCCTGGGCCCCATTCCTGAGTGGAATTTCCAATCTGACTTTGAAAAGCCTGTGGTGCTTGATCTGGGGCAGTCACTGTGCTGAGCCCATAATCCCTGCAGTGAGCTAAGGAGCTGGTGGTGGAGGAAGAACGTCCAGGCAGATTAGGCCTGGTGAACAATTTTCCTCTTCTTTTGCTTCTTTCAGAGACTGTCAGTCTCTGTTCAGTCTTGCTCTGGTTTTGCCTCTAGACTCCAAGGTATGTTTTCTCAAGGTCATCTGCCTCCCCTACAACCCCTGAATCCACCTGTAAGTCAGAGAACGAGTGATCACATTTCCCTGATGCTTGCCCCTTCTCTCAATAGTAGCAGCTTGGTGCTTACCTTGTGCATCTTTCAGCCTCCCCCTTTACAGTAGGCAGATAAAAGAAACTTCTAGCATGAACGAGGGAGAGCCATCCTGTTCTCATCCTGCTACAACTCATCTACCATGGCTCATGCCTCCACTGGAGGGAGGATATGAAAGCATCAGCTCCCCCCACCAGAACTGAAGGTGGTTATCCACTCATGCCATTGCCATGTCCCCAGGATGTCTGGCCACATCTCCATCCATTTAAAATTTTCATGCCCTGCTTTGGAAGGGAGCCATATTTCTTTCAATATAGCAGAGATTTTTATGTCTAGTTACTCTTGGTTAATATTAAGATTTTATTAGGTTTTTACAACAGTAGCACTTATAAGAATCTTTGTTTCATCTGTTCTCCAGATGATGGATTAAAAGTCATCTGCAATCCAGCCTCCAGGGGTAGGAATGGGTGGTGTCTTTCTTTCTTTCTTTCTTTGGGCAGTACCGGGGATTGAACTCAGGACCTTGCACTTGCCAGGCAAGCACTTATTCTACTGAGCTATCTCCCCAGCCCCAAGGAATGGGTGGTGTCTTGCTTGACATTTCTTCTCCCTCCCAGGAGGCCACTCCTGCCCTCCCCTGGGCCCTGTCCCCAGGCACCCTCACTGCTCCTTATAGATAGAAGGATGGGGTATTAGACACTATGTCCCTTCTTTTATTTCTGGCTCTAAGATGCTGCAGTGCAGGGATCCCTACCCTTGTGACACCGGCCCTCCTTGCCTCTCTGTAGTGGGTGATGACAATAGATCAGGCAGATAGGCAGTGAGTTGGTGCCTCCTCTGCTTGCAGGGACACAGAGATCGATGACCTAAAGATGCAGCTGTCTCGTATGCAGGAGGACTGGATTGAGGAGGAATGCCACCGTGTGGAGGCACAGCTAGCCTTGAAGGAGGCCCGCAAGGAGATCAAACAGCTCAAGCAGGTCATTGACACTGTCAAAAACAACCTGATAGACAAAGATAAGGGGCTGCAGAAATACTTCGTGGACATCAACATCCAGAACAAGAAGCTGGAGACACTGCTGCACAGCATGGAGGTGGCCCAGAATGGCACTGCCAAGGAGGAGAGTACTGGGGAGTCCGCTGGTGGTTCCCCTGCCCGCTCCCTCACCCGCAGCTCCACTTACACCAAGCTGAGTGACCCAGCTGTCTGTGGTGACCGCCAGCCTGGAGACACCCCCAGCGCCTCTGTGGAAGATGGAGCTGACAGTGGCTTTGTGGCCGGTGATGACACGCTGAGCCGGACTGATGCACTGGAGGCCAGCAGCCTGCTGTCATCAGGAGTGGACTGTGGTCCTGAGGAGGCCTCACTGCACAGCTCCTTTGGCCTGAGTGCCCGTTTCCCTGCCAGTAACACCTATGAGAAGTTACTGTGTGCCACAGAGGCTGGTGTGCAGGCCAGCTGCATGCAGGAACGGGCCATCCAGACAGACTTTGTGCAGTACCAGCCTGACCTGGACATCATCCTGGAGAGAGTGACCCAGGCCCATGTCTGTGGGACCGTCCCTGAGGACAGGCCCCCAGAGTCAGATTCTCACCCCCCAGGGCCCAGAGACCCCAACTCAGCAGTGGTGGTGACAATGGGTGATGAGCCTGAGGTTCCAGAGCCCATCACCTGTGGGCCCACTGCACACCAGCCTGGAGCCAACCCCAACCCTGGCCCATCATCAGTGAGCGTGGTGTGTCCCTTGGAGGAGGAGGAAGAAGAGGAGCAGGTAGCCACAGCTGCAACTGCAGCTGAGAAGGAGCCCAAGAGCTACTGGAGTCGCCACTACATCGTGGATCTGCTGGCTGTGGTGGTTCCAGCTGTGCCCACAGTGGCCTGGCTCTGCCGTTCCCAGCGTCGCCAGGGCCAGCCCATCTACAACATCAGCTCCCTGCTGCGGGGTTGTTGCACTGTGGCCTTGCACTCCATCCGCAGGATCAGCTGCCGCTCACTAGGCCACTCAGGGCCCAGTTCTGCAGGCAGTAGCTCCCAACTCTGAGGAGGCTGCCCTATCTCAGGCAGTGCTCTGGCAGCCTGACCACTGATTGTAGGGATGCTATCCTCCCCTCCCACATCCCCACAGGTATCATCTTATTTATTTAGTTTTGGGATTGGAACCGTTTTCTCTCCCTGGATGTTAACAGTGTCAGGCTGGGAGAAAGGGCTGGGAAAAGCATTCCAAAACTTCCAGAGAAAAAAGGGTAAGGGAGACCCAGGCAGGGAAGCCTACTGATGGGACAAGCTGCACAGCGACACTTCTGAGGCCCCCAACCCAGCACCTTGTCCACCCAGCCTTTAGATGTGGTGGGCCCTGCTCAGGAAGTCTCTGGCTGGGTTATCTGGGGACCTCCCCTCCCTGCTCCCGCTTGTCCAGTGTCCTGCCCACACCATGTCTTCTGTCCCAGGCCACCCTGCCCTCCTCCAGGTCTGAGCCAATATTGTCTCCTCAGACATAAGCAGCTCTGGCCAAAGTGCAGAAAATAGACCCAAGCACTTTGAGCAGGGTCTGGAATCCCTGGGTGTGGGCTGGAGCTGCTGCCTCCCCCTCGCTCCCCACTCAGGATTCCAAAGCACCATTGAGGCCACAGCTGGAGAAATGCTGTGATAGGCATGAGGGGATGAGGGTAGGGTGGGCTCTGTGTCTGTCTGTCCTCCCCGCTCCTCCATTTTCCTCTTGGCTTCTGGGTATGTCAGATTGTTCTTCCTTGAGAGAAAGCCAGGCCTGGCCAACTGGGTGCTGTGGAGGGGGTACTCATTCAAGTCCTGGCACCCATTGAGAGACCCGCCAGCACAGAGGAGGCAGAGTTTGGAGCTCCAGTGGCCCTGTACCTTCTGCAATGAGGCCGCCTCATCTATTGTTCAGGGACCTGGCTGGACTCAGGAATCCTTGGATGCTCTGAGAAGCCAGAGGCCATGGCTGCCCCTGGAGTTTGCCTGTCATCCCTCAAGGGATCTCTGGCCCACTCTGCCTTCCATTGTGTTCACTTCAGGGCTTGGTTCTCCCCCATCCCAAGAACACTGGGAAGTGATTGCTTGCTTTCTAGGATGAGAGTCCTTAAATCTACCTGCCTGCCTCTGGGGAATACAAAGGATTCTGGCAGGATGACTCTCAGGATGGGGTATGGAAGCCATAACACTTGTTAAGGCCAAAGCAGGCTGCCCTAGGACTTTCTTCCCAGGCAGGGATGTGGCCGGGCAGGAGAAGCCCTATGGCCACCTGCTCCCAGCCCAAGCCAGGTCAGCCTGGGAAGGTTCACTGTCCCTTGCCTTCCCTGGGACCACAACTGAATCCCCCAGCAAAGCTGCTGATATTTTATTACCATTACTAGTTTACAAAGTAAACTTCTTCCTCTTCCTCCATGGGGTTACACCCGTCTAGGCATCCTACACACTCCAGAGGTTAGGTCCCACATTGGGGAGGTGGTGGGACCCTTCGTCTCACGTACCCCTCTGGTCTAGGGGCCATTCTGGTTCTTTGCCAAGGTCACTTGCTCTCATCCCAATACTCCAATGGCCACTACCTGACTGCTGGGCTCTGCCCTTCCACTCTGTGCCCTCTGCCCAGGGGGCAACTGCATGCACTGGGGGTGGGCGGCCAGCCCAGCCGTCTGGGCCAGAGCCCCCCTACTACACGCTTCGTGCCTCCAAAGCTCCCTGCCTCGGCTGGGGCCTCAGACCAGCCCTCCTTTGTGGATCACCCCTGCCCCTGGCTGGACTAAACCTGAGTGCTGGGGACCTGGCTGAAGGTGCCCCACAGGACACTGGGGTCATGCCATGGAGGGGGCAGGGGACCAAAGCAACCCAAAGCCAAGCCGGGACTGGCCATGGACCCAGCCTCCAGTGCCGTGTGCTCATGGAGCTGCATAGCATCTCCTTAGAAACAAAGCTTTGCTGAGAAAATAAATGTATGAACTATATTTGACAACAAAAATATCTATATATTTTTCATCACTGGAATTTAATCAAGAGTTGCAGCCCCTCTACTCCTGTCCGTGTCTTGCTATCTGTGGCCTTCCTATCATGTCCTGTGTTTTGGTGAGTGTGAGCAGGGCTGGGGTTGTTGTCTACTCTGTCTCACTAGTGGAGAAGCCACTTGTAAAGGCTGAGCTATGGGTGGGCCTACGACCACTGGAGGAAGTGAGGGGGGCCTGGCTGCCACCCTCCACTCCCACTGGGCCAATCCCTGCCTTTGTGGGTAACAGGAGCCTGAGCCAATAGTACTGGGGAGCTTTTTTGTGTGGATTCTGGTAGGGTCTTCAGTGAGCTTTCTTCTTGCCAGTGGAGGAAGCAGCTCACAATCAGGCCTAGCGAAGCCCCTGGGCTGACAGTCCTGACCCAGCTTTTGAGCACACATATGCTCAGTATCCCACATCTATGCAAAGGACCAGCACTGCCCGTGTGTACCCCCTGCGGGCATGCAGTGGGCTGCTGGCTTGGCTCCAGCCTTAGCTAGTTGGAGCATCGAGGGAGCTGGGAGGACAAGGCTGGGCCCAGCCAGTGTCCCCTGGAAAGTGCTCCTCTGCAGCTCCCCTTCCCTTCTGCTTCCTGTGGGACTGCAACCCTTCCCTCCTGCCCTCAGCTTCTAGAGAAGAAATCTTCAGGGCCTCCCTTATCTCCAGCCTCCAGCCAGAGCTGATTAGGTCTTGAGGAACAGTGTCTGCCTTCTGGAACTGCTGGTCCCTTTAGAGTCCTCCAGTTAAGGTGGCTATTCCTCAGTTCTGGGGCCAGGCTAAAGCAGCGCTGCTGTCCTTCTGGTCCAGCCCCAGGCAGGACTTGGGAGCTAGGCCTGGGCTTCTGCAGAGCTGGTCTTGAGCAGAGTTTATGACCAACATTTCCTGAGGGGATAACTTAGCTTTTCACTGAACACCCTGCCCACTCTCCTCTAGCACAGGGGTATCTGACAGCACTTTGTGGGTGGGGGGCAGATCACAAGGTTCCAGGACAAGGACCTCCCCTCCTGGGGGCCTCCGCCCTGTGAACTCACAACTCCATTTTGACCTAGGGCACATTGCAAATGGGTCACAGTGCACTCTCACATTCATCCATCCCCTTGACTAAGAATTCAGGGGATGAGGGAAGGAGGGAGGTTGGGAGGGGTCTAGACTCTCGTCTCCTTGTCCTTTTGTTCAGACAGAGTTGCACCTGCAGCACACAGCTCTGAATTAAAGCATGAACACACCATGAGACCCTTGGCCTGTTTTCTTTGTCCTGTGTCATTTTTCTAAGGGGGCTGGTGGGACTCACACTATCCCCCCTTGCCCCATGCAGAGGGCAGCAGATCATGTGTTGGTTCAACACTAATAGGGGCCGATGAATGTGGTTGGGGCACTACTGCCCATGCAGGTGAAGCACAGGGTAGATAGCTCCCTCCCTCTGCTGCTAGGTGTCAGCTCCTGCTAGATATGGCTGTGTTTCATCCCAACACCAATGAAGTGGCTTCATACTCCTTTTAACAGATATAGAATTACACATGCTTCCTTAGTGGGGTCTCCAAAGCCAGTGCCAGCTCATAGCCCCCAGTTCCACTCATCCCTACACCAGACTGGCAGGCAGTCTGGGGTGGTGGTCCAGCCAAGTCATTGCTCTGAGGTATCATGTAGAAAGGGCCCTTGTCTCCCTACTGTTTGAAAGGAAACCAGCTCTGGCATGGCATGGACCAAGGACTCTGGAATCTCCAGTTAACCTTCAGGAAAGGATTGTGTTTAAAATCAAATCTTTATTCAGAAGGCAGTAATGATCATAACTATATAATCTGTGTACAGTGTGATAAGGAGCCAGTAAAGGGAAAGAAAACATTCTTGCAAAGAATGTCTCAAAATGTACAATGGTTTTCCTGGTGGGGGCCAAATTTTAAAAGGAATCAGCTGAAGCCAAACAGCATTTAGCTGGCCTACCTACATGCCTGGCATTTCAGTCAGTGGCCTGTAGGCCCCATCTGAGCCTCAATCAGCCCAGGATCTGAGGTTGCAAAGAGCCCTGTGGCCACAGATGACAGACTCCTGCCAGCCCATGTCTATCCACCTGGAATGCCGCATGGAATAGCCACAAGACACCCAACCCAGGCAACAGGCCAGCTGCAACCTGTCATCTGAGACCACTGCTTTTTCCTACAAGGAGGGGAGAGGTATGTGCTGTGCTCCTGTGGCTTCAGACATCTGGGATGGAGTGGTCCATGGTATGGTGGAGCAGCATCGAGGACAACCTGGATATGGCAAAGTAATAGAGGCTGAAGCTGGCAGCTCCTTCACCCTGGACCCCCGCCCCCAGCCTGCATTCTGTGTGGCCCTCAACTCCCAGTTCTAAGATTTCCAAATTTCCAGAAGCTACCATCCACCTTAGAGGAGGGGAAGTGAGGGGAGGATCAGCCAGCACCAAGGAGTCCAGTTAAGGTCCAGGAGGCAGGGAGAGGGAAGGCAGAGGAGGGTGGTGGCCTTACTTTTTCACCATGTGCTCGTAGATCACAGCAGGAATGACAGTCAGGGTGATGACATCTCCAGACGTTGCCAAAATCTCCATGACTGCTTTGTCCTGCAGAGGAAGTGCATGCATGGTCACCCGGGGCCAGGAGCCATACTGCAGGAACCTCTGTGTAGAGGTCATCGTGGCTGCTGCTAGAGGACACAACTGATGTCCACCTACAGGGCCAGGCTTTTTAGGACCCTGAGCCGGTCAGGTATGGATCAGGTGGGGTCTTGCCTGAGTATGATCATGGACCTCCTGCTTTAGCATCTCAAGGTCAAGAGGGAAAACTGCTGTCCCAGCCTCCAGCTGCGTGGGCCTGTGACAACATGGCCTCACAGTGAGATCCTCAGTCTCCTCTCAAGGACTCACCTCTTCCACCCCCTGTCCCTAGCCAGTCACATCTGGATTCCAACTCTAATCTTTACAGAAAACCATTCTCCAGGGGAAAACATTAGGTACACCTGTGTCTTCCAGCTCCTGCTGGCCATGCAGCTTGAGACAGGCCTACGTGGTAGTCTTCCTCCTACCTGTGGAAGTTGCTTAGATCATTGGGAAGCTTAGGGTTTCCAGGCAAAGGGTACCAGACACCCCACCCTGCAGCTCTGGCCACCAGAACAGCTGGCCCTTACTCAGGGCCTAGTTACCTTTACACGTATATGTAGCCTTTTTTTTTTTTTTTTTTTTTTGGTGGAACCAGGGATTGAACTCAGGCCCTTGTGCTTGTAGGGAAACACTTATTCTACTGAGTCATCTCTCTGGCCCAATATATGTAGTCTTGTTATGTGTTGTTTAGTTGTTCCAGGGTAAATAGAAGATGGGACAGAGCCAGTGGTGGTCACAGTGTAGAAATAAGTAAACTGTGAATGATAAATGATCTCAAGAAAAATAGCCATCAGGTTGTGCAAGGTGGCACACCTGTAATCCCAGAACTTTGGAGGCTGATGCAGGAAGATCACTGCAACTTTGAGGCCAATATTGGCTACATAATGAGTGAGGCTTTGTCTCAAAAAACCAGGAGAAAATAAAAGAAAAAGAAAAGGAGAAAGAGGAGGAGAAAGAAAAAGAGGAGGAAGAGGAGGAGAGGCGGAGGATGAGAAGAGTTTATCTGGAGCCACTCGGTAGCTGTCCATACTCAGTACTGTCCGTAAGAGCTTCACAGAGCCATGGTTTGATAGAGTATCTGGTAAATTCACAATGATGCCTGTGTCATCTGTGCAGATGAATCATATCTCAGCATGACTGCTCTCCAGAACAGTTCAGGTTGAAGAACTGTGATACTTTTCAAAAGAGAATTCACTGTCTAAACATACAGAATTAGTGTGCTCGTACATAGGTTTGTTTGTTTGTTTTTGTGACAGCTGGCCTTGAACTCTCTTTGTAGCTAGCCCATGTTGACTTTGAACTCACAGCAACCCTCATGTCTCAGCCTCCCCAGTGCTGGGATCATAAGTGTGCTCCACCACGCCCAGCACTCAGCTCTTTAAGTGCATTAGATTTCCTTTGAACTGTCATGCCTAGTCCAAGACAAAACAGAAAGGGTACAGTAAAAGGGATCTTAAGTAGACATTAGGTAGAATTTCTTAGCCACAATGGTCATAAGCACCCAGAACAAGCCTCTGAGGAAGGTAGGGGAGACTGAAGTGTAAGGAAGCAGGCTAGCCTCAGGAATGGCCGTGGCAGCAGTGGAGTATGATACCGCCACTCATGTCACTTCTAGGGGAGAAGCGCTGGCCCATGACTGCCAGACCTGTGGTGGGAGCCTCCCTCCACTATACAACTGGGGCCAAGGGCCACTCTTGGTTAAAGTGGCATCAAACCAGAAGAAAGCTGCTTCACTTACTGAGACCAAAACCAAGACCCATCATCATCTGTGGTGTCTTTGCCAGAGAGCCCCATTCCATATCCTCATCCTGAGGGCACCTCTCCCCAGAGCACTTACTCTATTTCTTTTTTCTTCTCCAGTAATGGAGATTGAATCCAAGACCTTGTGCATTGAGCTACACACACACACACACACACACACACACACCCCTTTTATTTTGAGATAGGATCTCCCAAAGTTGCCCAGACTAGGCTCAAACTTGTGGTCCTACTGCTTCAACTTTCCAGAGTGCTGGGATAACAGCCATGCATCACTGATAGAGACCACCATGAAGCAGCCCTGAGCAGGACTTAACCAACTGGCTTTCTCATATTTACTTAAGAGTCTAAGTAAATATCTCCAGGCAGGTCCCTTGCCTGGAGATGGGTGGTAGACTGTAGTAAGTGAACATCTGTGAGTCACTGATCCCTACTGAGGCCTGTAATGGAAGATAAAGCTAGAAAGCATCAAAAGATAAGATCACAGCCAAGGACACCTGGATCCAACCTTAACTAGATAAAAACTAGCTTCTGGCTCCCACTGCTGGGTGGATTAACTTAATACTTTAGTTGGAGAAGTCCTTGAGTGTTTCAAGAAGTAGCTTTCTTGAGTACTCCCCTACTTCCGATAACTAAATAAATATAGGCCACCCAGAGAAGGTCTTAGCCCTCAGTCAGCCTCAAATTCTGTGAGAGGGTTTTGATCCTCCTAGAGCCCTGAAATCATTCCATTTGCTTCTTTTATTTAGGCTTCACTATGCACTCATTTGGGACTTTCTTTTTTTTTTTTTTTTTTTGGTACCAGGGATCAAACTCAGGACCTCACCCTTGTCAGGCAGGTACTTATGCCACTGAGCTATCTCTCTGTCCCTCATTTAGGATATTATTAACCTAATATACCACCTTGTTCAAAAGTACCTTCTTGATTTTTAAAGGTAAAAGTCACCTCATCCTCCTCTCTCAAAAAATGAACAAAGGCCAGAAATGGATTTCTGAACAATTTTCCTTAGAAAAAAATACCACTAAATATAATTAACATACATATAGAAGTGCTGTGCAGAGTGAGGAGGTGTCCACGGTGCCTGTCGCCAACTGGGGCCTGTGTCCTCACCCTATTTTTGGTCATGTTCTGCAAGGCTAGTAACTGTGGCTGGTGCTTCTAAGCACTTACTATGGACCTGCCACTGTGATCAGAGCTCTCAGCCTTGGTCTTACTGAATCTCACAACCTTCAGAGGAGGAAGCTGTGGTTGTGGGACCTTAGCCTACCAAACAGGATCTCCTGAGCAGCCAGAATCCCTGTGGTGTGGTCACCGCCTACCTTTAGTCCGATGACATTCTGCCCATTCACCTCACACACGTAGTGGCTGGTGAGAAGCCCATTCCTGGCTGCAGAGCTCCCTTTGACCACAGACACAACCTTCCCCTTCTTGATGAAGAAGCCGACGTGGCCCAAGCTGTCCTTATGCATCGTGATTGTCCGCTGAAATGGCCTGGCAGAAAGGGCAGTGAGCTGGACCTGGGGAGGTAGCTAGGTTCCCCCGGAAAGGACTCTGGGGCCTTGCCACTCACCGGTCCCGAATGACCATGACAATCTTCTCTGCTGATGCCTTCTTCAGCACTCGGTGGGCTTTGTCTGTGCTCCACCCAGCACAGTCAGACCCATCAATCTGCAGGATCTGGTCCCCAAAGCGCAGGCCAACCAGGGATGCGGGGGTGTTGGCCTGAACCAGCTGCACAAAGATCCCCTGGGGGAGGCAGGGCGAGAGTCAGCTCCCCCAAGCCCTGAGCCCAGCTCCCACCCAGCTGTCTTTCTTCTCCTAATACTCTGGTAACCTGCCCAGCACCAGGACTGCAACCCTGTGGGGCAGGTATGACGGTCACCCTATTCTCTGAGGAGGACACACTCCAGACCACATAGAGGAGTCTAGATTTCTGCCCCAGCCACTCTGCTGCACTGTCTCTTCCAAAGGCATTTGGCTATCTTGGCTTCCTCTGTCTACAGCTTCAAGAAGCCAGATCCTTGGAAGCTGGGGCCCGAGAAAGGAGGGATCTGAGTTACAGGAGCCCATGAGGGTCTGTGGGTTTCTGCTGTAACCAGCAGCTGGAGCCTTGGGTAAAGATGCCAGATCTCTGAGAATTCTCTGAGCCCAGGGAGGATTCAGTCTCTGAGCACTGCCCCTTTCAGATAGTGACTAAGTGTGCCCCCAGCTTGAGCGGCCCTGGGGTTTCAGCAAGCGCTGTCCGGCCCCAGCGCCCCCCACCTTGTCGACGGCCCGCAGCCGAAGCCCCATCTTGCCGCGCCCGTCCTTGCAAAGATGGATCTCGCGTACTCCGGGCTTGATCTCCGCACGCCGCATGCCGAGGTTGTTTCCAGACACTGGTGCCACGAGCTGGCCAGAGACTGCAGTCTACAGGCAAGAGGAGGGTGGGGGCAGGAGGTAGTACGGCGGGGCAAAGGAGGAGCGTGGGGTGATGGGCCCAGATCCAGGCCCTCTGCGGCCGGTGAGGTACAGGACCCGAGCGGGAGCCGGGCTCCGACGCCACTAGGGGGTGTCCGAGTCCGCTGCCTTCAAAAACTGGTGCAAAAGGGAGCAGCGCCATGAAGGAAGGGGCCCCTTATTTTTCAAGGGAAATAAATACAGGAAAAGATCTCTTTAAAATTCACTTAGAAAGGGGCCTGCCCCTTAGCTCAGCTCTTTAAGTGGCTGCTTCAACAAAGCAGTCAGGCTCAGGTTGCTGTGGTTCGATCCCAACTCAAGCCAGCCAAACCTGCCCTGAAGGCATTCGGAGAAAAAAAAAGAAAGAAAGAAAGAAAGAAAGAAAGAAAGAAAGAAAGAAAGAAAGAAAGAAAGAAAGAAAGAAAGAAAGAAAGAAGTAAAAACAGTTGCAATGTGTTATGTACAACACCAACTCCCCAATCACTATATGCTACAAACATGCACAGTGCTAATAAAAAGTTCAAATAAATAAAATTCACTTAAAATAAAAAATATTTACATTAAATGGCAAGCAGTGAGATATAAAAAAGATCAGTGTGGGTTTTGTCTTAAGAAAATTTCAGCCAAAAAGAAACTGATGACAGTTTCCTTCTAAGATGCAGAAACAAAGCAAGGAAGTTAATTCTCCCTACTCTATTAAACACTGTACTGGAAGATCTAGAAGTGCAATAAAGCAAGAAAAGAAAAAGAACACAAAAGCATACAGATCTACAAAAAAGAAACACAGCTTCCTATTTATAAATGATATGTTGTTGTACTAGAAAATCCCAAGGGTGCACAGCAAAAGAAACCACCAACAAAGTTAAAAGACAGCCCACAGAGCAGGAAAAGGTTTTTACCAGCTACTCTATTATATTTGTGTCTGGTTGTCCCCCCAAAGCCTCATGCAGTCATGGGGTGGACTTCTAGAGTGTGTGATTAACTCATGATCCACTAGGATTACGGGTGTGAGTGCTGCTGGGATTACGGGTGTGAGTGCTACACCCAGCCTGGGGCAGACAGCCTGAATGCAAAATAAGGGAGACAGACTTGCTTTCTGTAGCCATTGTTGCCACCACTCTTCCCATTTGCTCTTGCTGTTTTCTGTCACCATGAACTGCTACCCTCTGCCATGTGCCACTCTGCCTTGGAGCCCACCAAGTATAGACTAATACCTCCATTAACTGTGAGCTAACTTGGGGAACAGAGCTGGGTAACATGCTCCTGCCAAGGCTTCTGAGCCACAGGCAGCCATTGTCAATGTCCCTAAGCTCTTACTGGGTTTTATGCTCTCCTGATCCACCTGGCTCAGACCTAGCTTGAAGCCGCAAGACAAGGATCAGAGAAGATATGAGACCATGAAATCCCAGAGTTCATATGAAATCATGGAATCCCATAGATGTTAGTAAAAACTCAAAAATGAAAAGTACTATCAAGAAACAGAGCCCAAAACAAGAAAGCTAGGGGAAAGGAGAGATACAAAATACAGAGAAAGGGAGAGGCCATTGAAATGGCAAGACCCACAGAAGGGAGGGTTGGGATAATCTGTGCTCATATTAGGTAGGAAATGAATACCTACACTGTCACCTTCTGGAATCTGAGGCAGGCTCTGCTGGACTTCTTGGCTGGAGAGGGAAAGACCCATGTAGCTCTCTAGTTCTGCCAGGTTTGGATACAGAACTGATGGAGAAGAGGAGGAAAAGTGTTACACAGGGACCTGTGTTTAGCTGCCCCTGCCTGGCTTTTGCATGCTCCACCTTAGTTTTTAGTAAAACATAATGTTAAGGCACCCAGCCGTGGGCCCCCTTCTCCTGCACCACTTCTCATGTTCCTGGATGCTCCAGCCGCAACTGTGCTGCAAAGATTTAACCTTGACGGTCTGCGCCTGGGTGCTTACACATATAGCTTTGTTTCAGCTTGCTTCAAGGACTCTATACTCTGTGCCCAAGATATCCTGGCCCAGCCAGGGACACCTGAGGACTCCCCTTTCCCATTCCTGCCCACCCAGAATGCCCTGGCCCAGCGAAGGACACTTTATGACTCAGTTTCCCCCATTCCATGCTCCATAAAGTCCCTTCTCCCCAGCCATTGCTGCTGTTCAGGTCTGCTGAGTGTCTTCAGTCTGTTATGTGGGGCCCTCTGGGATTCTCCAAGCTCAAAGTTAAGCACCTTATTTTCCTTTGCCAAATTGCCTGGCCCCAATACAAACTTGATAATGGGACCCAGAGGCTCCCTGAGAGCACCCTAGATTTTAACGCTCTTTACAATCTTACAACTTCTGTTGCTGCAACAGTAAATGGTTCGAGGTACCCTACGTCCAAGCTTTCTCTGCCCTCCACAATCACCCTCAACTCTGTATCTTGTGTTCCCCTCAAACAAATTCTCCTTGCTAAGTCCCCTGTGTCTTGACATTCGGGCTCAGACAATCTCTCTTCCCCTGCCTTTCCCGGAATCGCAAGATGACCCCACCCCTCAGCACCTGCCCACAGGCCCCTGACCAATTTTCTCCGCCCTCATCTCATCCACCCACCCCTCCTCCTTTCACCAGCCACAGCAGCCCCAGAGCGCCAGCTAAAGACTCCTACAGCCGCCCCCCCCCCAGCACCGCTGCTACAGCTGCTGCTTCACCTTTTGACCTCTCAACTTTCAGGGGCTAAAGTGATACCTCACTCTCTCTTCACCGCCTCAGCCACCTCAATAGACAGTCTACACAGCCACAATGAACAGCGCAGCTTCTCTCTCCACCAGTTTATAAGTCCAGGACTTGCACACTGTCAGTGCTGCTCTATCGTACTCCCTGCCCCGTTTGCTTGCTCTCACTCAAACCTGATACACTATATTAGACCAAACAAATATATTGACCATAAATAAGAGGTTTTTACCTTTTTCTGAATTCTTCTTATAAGAGATCTCTGCTAAATGACTTACAAAAGTTCTGATTAGTCTCTCATAATTACAAACCTAAAAAAAGGCCATCATAATTTAAGTTGGCCAGAAATGCACTTTATATTTCAAGGTACTTGATACTCAGACAAAAATCTAATAATCAAGTACATTGATTAATTCCTATTGTATGTCCCCCTCTGTTCCTGACATTCATGCCAAACTAAAATGATAAATTTTGGCCCTCAAACACAACAGGAAAACTTACTTAATCTAACTTTTCGTGTCTTCAATAATGGAGACCAAAATTAACTATACACAGTGCCAACTTTTGGCTGCGACACTTGAGCCTTCCATCAAAGCAGGACCTTAACAAGGTAATGCTGAGCCTAAACAGCTCTGCTACTCAAGCCAAGTGCGGTGAAGAAAAACACTGGGAATGAGCCTGCCTCAAGCTGCAGCCCCCACTGGGACATCTACAAGCTCAAGGGTCACTAAAAGTGCGACTGTCCTAGCCCTAGCCACCAGAGAGTGGGTAAGCAATCCACTAACTCTCTGCCCTCACAGGAAAACTCACTACAGCCAGACCCATCTGTGGGAAGCCATTAACTGGTATCCATTTTATAATAGTGTCAGCCGTTTTCTTAAGTTTCTATTCCCCTGCTGAGTTAAGTTTATGGTCCTTCCTGCCTTGCCCATTCCCTGTGAATCATGTGCTGTGCCCCAGGGGTTGCACCTTCCCCCGTTGCCTAGATACCTGCTGACCCCTAGAGCCGAGACTTCCTCATTCCTACACTCCCTATATATACCCAGCACCTCCCCTGAATAAATGAGACTTGATCAGAATCCTGTCTTGTCTCCATTCTTTGCGTCTCCTGTCCTTTGTCCCCTCTTCAATTCCCTGCTCCTCCCCCAGGTGACCTTCGTTGACTGACCCGCTGGTTCGGGACACCCATCAATACTTTACATGCTTAGTCTTGCTGCTGAAAAGCAACAACAGAGCTCGGGTCCCATGGTCCACTTCAAGGTACCTTTGTCAGAGTCCTGAGTCTTGCTGGACATCTCAGGTAGAAACAAACAAACAAACACTCTTTTCTTGCTGTTGCTGACACTGCGACCACATATAATGTTCTTCCTGAGTTCTAAAATCACTATATTCGCTCTACAGTCCCCATAGTGGGTGTTGATGGCTTACCTACAAGATCCCTTCAGACAGGCCTATTCCTTGCTGACTTCAGACACTGTTCTTCACTCATAATTTTCTTATGATTCCTGACCTGTCCCATACCTTTCATGGGGGAGACATCCTCCAAAAACTCCACTTCTCTCTCACCTCTCTCTCCCCCCACCATGTATATCCTACAAACCCAACCTTAGTATACAGCCAGCTCCTCCCTCCCTTTTCCCTTGTCAACCATATTCTCTAAGACACTTCCAGTCCCACTTGTGCCACACATGCTATTCCTAGACTGGTGTGCCTCAGAGATCCCACGGGGTTTCCCTACATTCCCCAATACCTGGTAGCCCCCAAACATCAAAAGACACCAGCCAATGTGCCTTCCTCACCATTCCCTTACACCCAGATTGCCAGGACCTCTTTGCCTTCACATGGACTGGTCCAGACACTCTGATCGCAGGCAGCTCACATTGACAGTCCTGCCTCAGGGGTTCAGATAGTCCTCATTTCTTTAGCCAAGCCCTTGCTGCTAATCTCAAAACCCTTGATCTCAAGTCCATCCTGCTCCATCAATATATCAGTGCTCCTCCTCTTCAACATGGTCATGGTTTTATCAGTCTCCACTGTGAGCTGTCACTATCAATAAACTTCTAGTCCTAGCTGAGACACCTGGTGATAACTTCTACATGGACATGAACCCTCCTCGCCCCACTACAACCCTCAGGACTCAGCCCATTTAAACTCATGTATGACAGGCCGTATCTCCTCCAGACCCCTCCCACCAAGCCTAGCCCTCTTGCCAACTACCTTTCCACTCTTTCCTTACTCCACAACCTCCTTCGCTCTCATGCAGACCAGAGCCTACCTAAACCTGACTACACCTCAGTGCCTCTACAGGTCCAACCAGGAGACAGAGTCCTCCTCAAAGACCTCTCTGCCCCAGCTCTACAACCCCATTGGTCCTAAGAGAAGAGTGCTGTACATACACCAACCAAACAGGTGCTATTAGAAAAAATTCAGCAGATGCTAGATCACGCTTATCAGGTACTCCAGCTTTCCACACTAGCCTCTAATGCTGCTTCACTATGGCCCACCCTACTCCCCTGAGTCCTTTCCCTTCTAGGCCCACTGGCAGCCTTTATTCTCCTCTTACTGGTGGCTCCCTATGCAGTCTCCCTAATCAAAACCACTGTCCAAAAGTTAACCACCCAAAATTTCAACCTTATGCTCCTTGAAGGATATCACCCCATTCCTATAGCTGAACCTCACACTTCAGACTGAGTCTACCCTCTAAATCAATGCCTTTTTTTTTTTTTTTTTTTTTTTTTTTTTTTTTTTTGCGGCACTGGGAATTGAACTCAGGCCCTTGCGCTTGCCAGGGAAGCGCTTATTCCACTGAGCCATCTCCCAGGCCCCTCAATGCCTCTTGACAGCAAGAAGTAGCCAGAAAAGACTTTGTCACCCTTTCCCTATAATTCAAAGTCTGGAATGTTAAGGCACCTAGCTGTGGGCCCCTTCCCCTGCACCACTTCTGATGTTCCTGGATGCACCAGCCACAACTGTGCTGCAAAGATTTAACCTTGACCGTCTGTGCCTGGCTGCTTACACATATAGCTTTGTTTCAGCTTGCTTCAAGGACTCTACACTCTGTGCCCAAGATATCCTGGCCCAGCCAGGGACACCTAAGGACTCCCCTTTCCCATTCCTGCCCACCCAAATGCCCTGGCCCAGCGAAGGACACTTTATGACTCAGTTTCCTCCATTCCATGCTCTATAAAGTCCCTGTCTCCCCAGCCATTGCTGCTGTTCAGGTCCGCTGAGCAGCCCAGCACATGCTAGTTGCCATCAATAAATTGCTCCTTTTGTGCCAGCTAACATGAGTGTGACCTTCTGTGGGTTTGAAGGTGCCTTTTCCCTGATAGTTTTTCCTGTCAGATAGAACCTGGACATGCCATTTTTTGACAATCCCAGGATGACCTGAATCCCCAGGAATACTCACTTGTGATGTGGGTCATCCCCTCAGAGTTCTGAAGTCCCAGGAGCAACCTGGGACCCTGAGTCCCTCAGGTATCACTTTAGTATTAAACTCAGCTGGCTTCAACATTCAACACAAGGACAGGCCATGAAGGGTCACAGATGACTGGGAGGGGCAGGCTTTAAAGCCAGGTCAGCCCTCAGGGAGAAGCTTGCACAGGGACAGAGTTGGCCTTTGTTCAAGTTTGCTATACCACAACCTGACCTAGAACAGGTCCTGGTCTCCTTCTGTGGCCTGTCATGGCAGCTCCAAATCAGGAAGTTACTGTGCTACCTCTAAGCAACTTTTCTCATTGTCTCCTCAGAGTGACTGGAAGGACAGAAACTGCACAAAGCCCTCACACACAGTGTCAGGAAGAGAGAGGCAAGCACTGTAAATGACCAGAGAGGGGTATCCATATCCTCAAGGCCACCAATGTACACAGGCCCACCCGAAGCCTGGCAGTAGAATCCTCAAAGATGCCACATGTTGTCTGAGGGTGTTGTGAGAATGTTGAAGTTCAGCTTACTCACCTGAAGGTGAACAGACACCCGCTACCTGGATAGGCAGGGTGGACATCCTGGGCGAAGCTCTGGCCTGGGCCTGGAAAGGGACAGTGAGTGCCAGTCAGCTCTGACCAGTATCCCAGCACCCATGGACCTGGGGCTCCCTGAGGCGGGGAGGCTGGGCATTAGATATGTTGGTGGGTGTGGGGTGGGTGTTTCCATGGATCCCTCCCGAAGGCTCTAGGTCATTTGTAAATGTGAACTCTATGATATGGCAGACCCATAAAATGATACTGCACGTTCTCCTTTACACATAGAAGTTAAAAGGTTGATCTCAACAAAGTATAGAATAGAACAGTGCTTACAAGAGCCTGGGAAGCCTGTGGGGAGTGGAAAGATGGAGACAGGATGGTTAAGGGGTACAGGGAACAGAAGATGCCCTAAGATTTGACTGCACTGTAGGTTCATTATGGTTGACAACAATTAATTGGCATTTCCAAATAGGAGAGATGACTTTGAATGTTCCTACTACAAAGAAATGATGAATGCTTGAGGTGGTCGCTATTTCAGTTACCCTGATATGATCACTATGCACTATATATATGTATTGAAATGCTCCACTATACCCCCAAAATATGGACTTACCATGTATCAATTAAGACTTTTTTAAAACACGTAGTCTCTGGAAATGTGTACATTTCCGGGAGATTTTGCTGGAACCTGTGACCCAGCAAATGTCATGACCCATTTGCTTCCTATGGCAGCCAGGACAACATGCCCACCTCCTAACTACATTCTCAGGGGAAAGGCCCAGATTCTCAAAGCCTCTGGGACCTCAGGACTATGGATTGTGGGAAGAGGAGGCTTCTGGGGACTAAGCAGGCAAAGCCCACGCCTACCAGCTATCCTGTGCAAGCAGCCTTGCTCATGGGTTTCCCATAGGGGACAGAATGTGAAAGGACAGAACTGAACATGAGAGGCATATCTGGGGCTGCCTGGTCTGGTCTACTCCAGTTGTGACCCCACTGGCCTTGACCTCTGGATGCCTTCTTTACCCAGAAAGCCCTTACAGTGGGGACTTGCATGCCCTGGGGCTTTCCAGGAATGTACAGAGTTTCAGTACCCTGTGTTCTGTACCCTCAAAGGGTAGCCTCCTTGTGTCACCTTGGGGTGAGACCCCAGCCCTTCATCAGAGACACTGGGATCAGAGAGTCTGCACACCTACCTGGATGACTTGGTCCACCTTTAGGTCCTCCAGAGATGGGTACAGAGCAGACATGGTTGGTCCTTGGAGTCTCTGCAGAGCACAGAGGATAAGATATGAGGATGCAGCAGGTCCCACCATCCTAAGAGAAGGTACAGATGCCTACCTTTTGTCCACATATGCCACACAGCACCTCAGACATGAAAAAGGGAAAAGAGTTACTGTCTATATTTCCAGGACAGTGGAACTAGGATTTGAGCCAGTCTAGTTAGTTCCCAAGCTCATGGACTTAGTACCATGTTAATTCTCCCCTGAGAATTCTATCCCTGCCTATTTGGCTGGCACTGGGCTTTAGAACACAGGCCCATGGGACTACAGGACATGCTGACCAGGAAAGTCAGGACTACAGGCCACTCTTCCTGTGTGTCAAAGGTCAGACAGACATACAAGATCTTATCATTCAGCTCCTAAATTCAATTCAGTTGCTGCATACCAGACCTAGGTTAAGAGTTTGGACAGCCTCACCCCTCAATAGCCGAGTGGTTGGGAATTGATCTTAAAACAGAAAGACCACAGAAAGGGTCTTTTTACTAGAGCTCCACTGTGTACCACTCATTTTTATCCTCCTGAGCAACTTTTGCTTTTAGCTGACTTGAAGTAAGACCCTTATACAAATATATGCACAGTGGCTGAGGGGCATAGCTCAGCGGTAGAGCACTAGCCTGGCCAGTATGAGGCCTTCTATCTAGATGCACACAAGGGTGGGCAGAGTTTAAACATTCTGATAGGGACAGGAGATGCAGCTCAGTAGCACTGGAAAGCCTCTGGTTTCAATTCCCTGTACCACATAAAACAAACTTTTGACAGAACATTACTCCGCAAGGAGGAGGGAGCAGGGCTAGAGTGGGTACCACAGATATCTACCAAAACTTTCTAATTAGTAGGATAAATGAGAAAGATGTCAAGAGACATTCCAAGGAAATATTACCTATCAAGATATGCTTTCCTTTCTTCCTGGATGAAGTGTGGGGAAGGAACATTTTCTTCTTAGATTGTTCCCCTTAACCCACTAATTCCTGGCAGCCACTCCTCCTGTCCTTTGCTTGGCAATCCATTTCAGCCACTGCCCTACTTCCTTGTCATCCTCATCAGTTGCACCTATACAGGCCTCCCAGGCATGAGTTCACTGTCCTTTTCACCCTGGACTGTGCCCTCCAGGACTGGCTCTGAGCCAGGTTCCCTCCCTGAACTCCCCAATAGTCCTCAATCTGTTTTCCCAACTGGGCTACAGTTCTCAGGGCCAAGGTGTGTCCTATTTGCCCATATGACAGCTACATGTGACAAAGTCATACCTGGTGGCCACATAGGGGACCCAGTGGGTGTGGTGTAGCAGGTATTATATAACTCAAGTGCCTTCTGGGACCAGCTCTGCTGGGCACTTCCCTGAGTGACCTAGGCACTGGGGACATGCTCAGCAATTACTGCTCTTTCAAGTACCTGCTGCCTTGCCTGCGTCCTTCTAGGCCAAGAACCCTAACCTTTATGATCTGTCATCAGTTCTCTCTCCCATATCTAAGTTGTGCAGATTTCTTTCATCTCCCTATCATCCCTCCACAGGAAACATCCTCCAAAGGGGTTGCTACCTCCCCTCTTGCTGGCCTCGGCAGCAGCCACTGAGCTCTTCCATAACGAGGCCAGGATGTCATGCCTCTGTTGCAAGTCCTTCAGTGGCTCCCCATTGCTCTCAGAACTTAGACCACATTTCTTAAAGTGGCCACAACTGCCTAGTTCCTCCAGATACTGATCAGGTGATGGCCTGTATCAGAGGTACAGAGGTAAACAAATGTTATTTAACAATGCAGAGTACTTAACATTTGAGTTAAAGGCCTCAGTGCAAAACATAAGATGTTTTATTTAATAATCTATTTTCCCACTACTCCTGAACAATAGGAAGCTTTGTCAACCTTGGCCTGAACATGAGTAGTTACAGCAGAGGAGCCGCTGACTCCAGAGCACCCCAGAGCCTGCCATTCTCTATTGCTCTCACACCTAGGCTACCTTAGTCGCTAGCACTGAGTTCCCACAGACATTTGTCTGTAACATCTGCCCAGTGTTCCAGCTGCTTTTCTTGCCTCCACTTCCAGCTGCAGTCACAGTGAGCTAGTCTCATGTTCTTGAATGCTATTCTTTTATGTCTCTAAGTAAGTTAGTTCCTCTATCTGCATTACTCCTCCAACCATTGTTCCTCTCTTGGCTGATGCCTAACAATTCTGACATCCAATACCAGAGAGGACCCTTCTTGCAGGAAGCTTGCTTGCTCTTCGTGGTTTTTTTTTTTTTTTTTTTGGTACTTGGAATCGAACTTAGGACCTTGCGTTGCTAGGCAAGTGCTTGTGCTGCTAAGCTATATCCCCAGGTTTCATGTTCTTACTGCTATTGGTTATTCACTACTCCAACAGCTGTCTTCACTTGTCTGACTGCTTCATTAGTGTGGGACCTCCAAAAGGGCAGGAACTGGGCCTGCTGATTAGCTGCAGAACCTCTAACCTTGGATGGAGCCTAGAGGCCAAGATGATGCATTCTGCCTGAGCACCCACTTCCCTCATTGTAAAGCATAGTTCTGGTGTCTTAGGAACATCTACCTTCCCAGGATAGAGCCAAGGACAAGAAGTTCAAATGTGCTTTGTGTGCCTCTCAAAGTTGGGCCTATAAATGTGAATCGGTGATAACATTTAAAAAATAAAGATCTAAAATTCTTTACTTCTAAATTTACTTTAAAAATAATTTAGCAAGAGTGTGGATCATGCGTGGCAATGCTCAGCCAGGACTCCTTCTTAGATGGGGCTGCGCTTGCTTTCCTGTTCTCTGAAGTACCCACCCAGCCCTTCATTGTTTGACATTGCCTGCCTGACTTCCGAAGGCAGCCAGTTCCAAATCCTTAACCTCAGCTGGCCTTTGGAGCAGAAATAATCATCCTAAGAGGACAAAGATTGCCTAAGGGAAGAGGGAATTTGACTCCGACCTCCTTCAGGCTTATGGGGGGTGAGGTGGAAAATGCCTTTATCAGGGAGGTTTTTTATTTTGGGACAGTAAATGGCAGTTAACATTTATCAAAAGTATGCTTTGCCACCAGGATCATGCACCAATAGCAGGTGTGAGCATAGGAGGTCACCCCTGCCCTCCTTTGACACTGAAGAACAAAGCAATTATAGTTTTGGCAGCTGCTATCTGGGAGAGCACAGGATCAGCTCCTTTAACTATTTCCTGAGAACTGTCCCCAGACTCTCTCACTCTGTCATTTTCTCTGGGGCCCTACTCAGTAATGGCCTTGAAGGGGGTGGGGGGTGTCAGGAAGCAGGTATTTCTCTCTCCTATGACAGCTTTCCATATAGTGGGGAATGGCTCTCTGCCAACAAAGATGCTCTGTGTCTCATCCAGCCACCCAGAAATTCACAGAAAACACATGGGCAATCACTGTGTGCCAGGCAACCTAGCTCTCCTTCAGCTCTGCTGGTCTCTCCTTGATGCACCTCTCTCCTCAGTGCAGGGCTCCTTTAAGGCTCCCTCTGAGGCTGCTTTAGTTGGCTTTTCCAGGCCTGCCAGCTAGTTGAGAATACTCAGCCTTGACTTGTACTGCGTATATGTTGTTGTAAAAGAGGGAAGCGACAATAATCTGTAATAAAAGAATACATGTAAAAGGGCCAGCAAGATAGTTCAGCGGACTAAGCACCTGCTTAGGTAAGTGCAGGAACGGGGCTTTATCCTCTTACCTGATTAATATCTGGCTATTTCCTCCCTCTGAATCCCATTTCACAAGGGCAGAGACTACGTCCAGATCAATAAAACATTCCTGCTCACCAGGACAGGGGCCAGCCTAGGTATGCTGGCCAAAATTGTTCTTTAAATAAATAAATAAATAAAAAAGTAGTTTCAAGAAGCAAATTGGAAATTTGTGTAGGCGTGTTTGGTTGTTACAAGACTAGGGGATACCTGGCAAGTGCAAGGTCCTGAGTTAGAGCCCCAGTACCAAAAAGAAAAAAAAAAAAAAAAAGATAAGGAACAGGAATAATGACATCATGGACAAACAATGTCATTATAACAATCTTCTGTTTTACACAGTTTTTCAAAGGGCAAACTTTCATTTAGGCAAAATAAAACAAAATGAGTATAAACTGTCCTATATAAGTGACTTATACTACAAACTATAATAGTTGCAACTATATTGTGTAGAGATGGATATACCGGGCCCATAGAGAGAAGTTATAACCTGTTATCACTATTTTGGAAAGTCACTGTGGTATAAATTGTTGGTAAATTAAATGTAAATTATGTATATTCTTTTAAAAATTATTGTTATTATTATTATTATGTATCTGGTACCGTCTCACTGTGCAGCCCAGACTCAGTGATGCTCCTGTTTTCAGTCTCCCGAGTGCTAGGATTACAGGTGTGTGCCCCGAGGCTCGGTCTCTGTGGCTTGCTCGGTGCACTGGGGGTCTGGGAATCAAAGACCTGTTCCTGCACTTACCTAAGCAGGTGCTTAGTCCGCTGAGCTATCTTGCTGGCCCTTTTACATATATTCTTTTATTACAGATTATTGTTGCTTACTTCTTTTATAGCAAAACTAACTATTTATTTATTTATGTTTAACTCTCTGGGAGAATCTTGGCCAAAATCTCAGGACACATTCAGTCCTCCCTGGACCCCAAATGCCTGCTTTAGGAAACTGAAGCACCAGACAAAAACTCTATGCACTGAAGAACCAAGAGAAGCCTAATAGTCACTAAGGCCTATCTTCTACCACAGGCCTTCATGGGCCCATCTGCGACAGGACTGGATGATCTCTCAAGTATCCACTGCCACAACACCCTGGATCCTGGCTGGAAGCGACAACTCCCATTTGATATTGGCCACAGAGCCTGCGCAGAGACTTGCAATTAGGTTGTGCAGGGGCATCTAGTGTGCATGCATACTGGCAGCTTAGGGTAGCAGGATACAGGTTGTTTCGGTGGGTTACTAAAGTCCACTGAATTCAAACTTTCCCCAGGTCCCGGTGGCTAATGCCAGTGTCCACACAAAAAGATCAAGTAAAGCAGCAGGTGTGAGATAGAAAACTAGGTCTAGCTCTGACCCATGTTGATGGGAAACTGAGTGTCAGATGAGCTTTAAAGTGTACGAGTAGGCAGGTGTGGAGTCACAGGCCTATAATCCCATCTGGGAGGCTGAAGTGGGGGGATGCCAGGAATGCAGGAAAATCTGTCAAAAAATAAAAAGGGCAGACTGAAAATAAAAAGACTATCTAAAAATAAAAGGTCTTTATAGTCCAGTGTAAAGGCCCTGGGTTCAGTCAACCCCCAGGACTATTAGGGGGGGAAAAAGTATGTGAGTGACCCCTCACTCTCTGAGGTCTGGCCTCGGAGCATCATTTGTGGGTACTGAAAGAATGGAGCACAGTTGAGCCATTCTCCTGACCAAAAAAAAAAAAAAAGTATTTCATGCAGAGGAGAGCGGAGCTTCCCTATGCTTGTTTTTGCTACTAAAATGAAGGCCCGAGGCACCCTTTTGGCTTCATAAGGGCCTTCAAAAATTCCACGCACTGAATGAGTAGGTACTTCCTACTCATCTTGATGTCACCATCACTTCCACCCTCTCACCAGGGGATTCTAGCTTGGCCCAGACTCTTGATAGAGTGCTGAGTGAGAATACTCTGCCCCACTGCAGTGCACCACCCATCAGTGACTGGCAATTAAGATTCTATTGCCTGTGGAAGGAGATTTTTAGTTTGGCTGAGAACACTTCCCATGGTGCAGTCAGACCCACTGTTTGGTATAAAGGACTCAGGCATTCGGATTTGTGGAGCACAGGAAAAGGGGTAGGGAAACCAGGAAACAGAAAGTCTGAGGCCGGGGAGATGGCTCAGTGGAATAAGTGCTTCCCTGACAAGCGCAAGGGCCTGAGTTCAATCCCTGGTTCTGCCAAGAAGAAAACCCAGAAAGTTTGGAAGAAGAGCAGATACCTGATGTGTCCATGAAGGATGGAAAGTTCAAGCGCAGGAGTGTGCTATTTCAAGGATAGTGAGACCCAGGCCTGAGAGTTGAGCTGCTTTTTGCATATTTATGACTTCCTGCAGATTGTCCTTCTGAGGCTTTACCCAGTTGTGCTGCTCCATCACTGACCCATGCGCTGGCCCAGCAATCTGGAGTTAGCCTTTGCTCCTGCCTTTTCACCTTTTGAAGCTTTACCCAACTGTTGTTATCAGCATGAATCTCATACTTCAACCTTGAAATAGGACAGATACTCTTATGGCACATGAGGCATGGATTCCCAGGTCTGTATCAACCTGACTACTCCCATGTCTCGAGTCTCACCTCTCAGCCCCTCATGGTACAATTCATTCATTCCAAACTACTTGCTTGCTCTAAAACTCATTTTACCAGCTCATGCCTCCAGGTTTCAGCGGCACCTGTTCTCTCAGTCTTGGGTACCATTCACATGCTCCTCCTCTTTGTTCATCTGGTGAATGCCACTTCTGAGCCTTCCCCCAAGTCCAGCATACAGCCTCAGAGATTGGCAGGCCTTCTTTTTAGACCACAGCACTGCATGTATTCACCTTGTCCAGTGTTTTGTTCAAGACACTTAAGACCTGGCAAGAAGCCTCTGGGAAGCCCGTCTGGTAGCCTATTCATTCCCCAGATGTTTACTAAACACCTGTGAGCAAGGCCTTCCTGAGAAATTCCACCATGTATTGTATTTTCTTGTCATCCCTGCTGTTCATGGAGTGCCACGCATGTGAGTCTCCATTGCAGAACACAGGGCCTGACACACGGCAGGCATACAATTACTGTTTCAGGAGTGGAAAAGCAGACATGGAAGAAAGAGAAAGCCTAAGTCATAGATAGTCTTTCTCCCTATTCCCACCTTTGTTTGCAATCAACAGAAAATCCTTTCAACAATAACCCTGGGGTTAGAAAGGGAGAAGAAAAAGCCTTAATGTGGTAACTGAAAGGCTCCTTGGCTCTTGCAGGTTGACAGTGGAAGACTGCTTAGTTCTATGCTATGCTTAGTTTCTGCAAGTAATTGTCTCCTCTGAAAAGAACACATCTAACCCTTCTCTCCCAGAAGCATTTTTCTGTCATATAGCACCTTACTATCCTTCTGCTGCTGTATTTCTCCATATTATAAGCAGTAGCAACACCCACAAAAACCAGCAACTGGGTTCTTGAGAGATCACCAGAGCTGAAAGGGGTCTCCAGCCCCCATCTTTCAGTTTAGAATAGGAACATTTTATTCCAAAGAGTCGAAGCTCAGGGACTCCCACTTGTTCCTGTGGACAGCTCATCTATCCTACAGAAGACAGTGTGCAGGAGGGATGCGTGGGTTATCATGGCAGAAGAATCGCTCCTGGAAGGCCAAATTACCCCAGGATTCTAGTGTGTTGAAGGAAGAGGCTGTTGCGAGGCCGCCTGCATGAAACCCTCCGCTCCCCAGCTGTACTGCCTGCTGTGGAGCTGTGGACTTCAGGAAATGCAGATGTTTCCAAATGAAGTCTCAGGGGAGATAAGGTAGTGCCAAAGACTTTTGGAAGCAGGCTGGCCTGGGCTCAGACTCCTCTGACTTGTGAGAGCAGAGCATGGTCAAGTGCCTTTTGAGTGCTGTTTATTTTGTAATATGAGGAATAATATTTGCATCATAGTTATCTGGGGATTAGAGTTTTAAAGAGATAAGACTTGTGTGAAAAGCATTTAGCATAGTATCTAGCAATATGAATTTAGTGTTAGTGAACAAAGGAAGAATGAGTGCTCAAGCAAGATTTTCTAGTGTGGAACAGGATAGGAAGCTCCCGGGCTCCTTTAGGTGTTGGGAAGCACATGAACCAAGATGGAGGGTAGATAACGGCAGAAGGTCCAGAAGACCCTCCCTGCATGGATGGGGCATTTGAGTAAAGACCTAAAGGGATAGTGGGAAGAGCATTCCAAGCCAAGAGCCCTGCCATTGCACAAGCCCTGGGACTGGAGTTCTTGATCACTGAGAGTGACATCCAAAGGGGTAGCAGAGGAGGAGGAGGCTAGAGAAGAGGTGAGAGGCACCAGATTCTGTAGAACCTGAAGGTCTTGGTGAGGAAGTCAGCACTTCCTCTGGTGAGATGGGAGCTACTGGGGAATTTTAGGAGCAGAATGAGCGCCATTGTCCAGCTTACCCAACCCTCTTGGCTGGTGTTTGGACACAGTGGCAGGGTGGAAACAAGAACTCAGGTGAGAAGTGCTTGTGTGTAGTTAGTTACTAGCTGTAGTATTGAATGTCACACAGTCCACACATCCCAGTGCAGCCAAGTGTGTTCATTCTAAGCCCCTCCTTGAGCCCCCACTCTGTGGGGGCTGAGTGCTGACTTCTCATTTTCATCTTCTTGCTCCAGCCCTGCTGAGTTATTTCCAACCTCCACATGGGGACTTTCTTAGAAAGATAAAACCATTGGCCCAGTTTCTGCGCAGATTTTTCTTGGAAATAGCAGGAAAGTTGGTAGAAATAACTTCAGAGAAAGAGTTAACAAGAGGAGGCCTGTTTTTTTAGAAATAAGCTTTGTCCATGGCTTATCACTTCAGAGGATGTGTGCTCCAAGAGCCATGTGAAGGAGAAAAATGTGGGTGCCACTGCCTGGGGCCATAATGCCAAGCAACAAAGGGAGTACCATGTCCAGCTGTCATTTGAACCAACCTCTGGTAGATGTTTGGGGAACAGAGAAGGGGCAAGGATAGCTGTGGGAATCAGTGCACAAAATCACTCAGCTCTCAGAACTGGCCTAAGCATATTTCAATCCCAGTGTGAAGCATGTTGAAAGTCCCCAGGAAGTTCTGAAGGGCAGAAGCAGGGAGGGAGGGAGGGAGGGAGAAGGGATGAGACAAGGTCTTGTTCATCCCTGACCTAGCTGGTATGGGACCCACTCTTACCTGCCGGTAGCTGCTGCTGTGGGTCCTCTTCTGGCCTCTACTCAGAGAACCTCCGCCTCCTTGGATGGAAGTGGCTATTGTCGTAACTGGTTCCTACCTTCCTGGGAAGGGTAGTCCCCGCCCCTTGTTCAGCTGAGTCACCTTGGACTGGGAAGGGCCCAGGTCAGGTAATGTGGCTGAGTAAACAAAGCAGGTGGCCAGGCCCAAGGAAGCCTTTGCCTTAGTCTCAATTTGGAAGTTGCGTTTAGGTACACACAGCTAATGGGTGGGACTCAACATTGATATTGATCTGGGTGTGAGCCAAGGCTTTATTTGCCTTTCCTTGAGGTCTGCATTTGGAGATGCTGTTGTGATGTGTGGGGATAAGAGTGGAGAGGCTTGATAAATGCCCTGGGCCTTAAAACAACGGCCATTTCTTGTGACCAGATTTCTCCTGGAATATTTTTACAGTGAAGTCTTAGGGCCTGTCAGTGTGCTGCTTCTGATTGGGAAACTGGAAATCCCCAGTATCTATCACTGTAGGCTGATTAAGTAAATCATCATCTATGAGCGATGACAGAGCCATTAAAGTCACTGAAGGAAGAAGCTATGAAGAAATGTTCTTGAGCTACTAGTGAGATAATGAAAAATCAGTATTGGTCTGCTCTTGTGTTTTGTTTTCATCTTTAGAACAGTTGTATACCACCAAGCACCTGGACACACACATTCAATGCGTGTGTTTCTGGGCGGAGGAACTGAGCAGCCTTCCTCCCTCCCTTCTTTCCCTCCTTTCTTCCCTTCTTCTACACCCTCTTTTTCTCCTTCCTTTCCCCATTTCTTCCCACTTTCCTTCCATACTGTTTTTTTCTTATGTTGAGCCCAAGTCCTCAAGCACTTTTATGTCTGTATGATTTTTAAAATATTATTTATTTATTTATTTATTTATTTATTTGGTACAGAGTCTCGCTCTGCAGCTCAGACTCATAGTGATCTCCCTGTCTCAGCCTCTCCAGTGCTGATATTACAGGTGTGTGCCATCACACCTGATTTTGGTGGTCAGCACAGTGTGCCTAGGGTTCCAGGGTTGGCATGGCATGCAGTACGGGGGATCAAACCCAAGTCCTTGCACTTGCTAGGCAGGTGCTTAGACTGCTGAGCTATCTTCCCAACCCCTATCTGTAGTTTTTTTTGTTTTTGTTTTTGTTTTTTTTAAGACAGGGTCTACAGGGTCTCACTACATAGTTCAGACTCGTAGTGATCCCCTGTGTTCAACCTCCCAAGAGCTGGGATTACAGGTGTGTGCCCCCACACTCAGTCTCAATTGCCATCTCAGTGCACCTTGGGGGGAGGGGCTGGCACCCTATCTATATTTTTAAAGTTAGTTGCTCAAAATGCTTGTGTTTTCTGTAAGGGAAGACCAAATTAAGTTCAACTGTTTTGAAAAGGAATTTTGATGGGTTGTTCCCTGGAAGGGGAATGAAAGAGCTATGTGTTTGATTGGGAGGAGATTTTTTTTTAAATATCAGAGAGGAGGGACTTTTAAATTAAAAAAATTAAATGTATTATCCCAATAAATAATCATATGAAAAGCAAGTTAAACAGAGAGGAGGAATTTGGTTTACGCCCTGGTTGGTGAGTTTGGTTGGATAAGAGCAGTCACATTAGGAATGATGCAGTGCACCCACTCAGGGTAGGGTGAGTATCAGGGCTGCCTGCCAAGGTAGGCAGGGATGTGTCACAGTCCTCCTGATCAACCTGGGCAGAACTACACTACCCTTGGACAGCAGATGGTGTGTTTAACCCCTCAGAGGAACCACTGTGTCTGCCTGTGAAGCTCCCTTAGCCAAGAGTGACATCCTTATCCATGTGGCCTCTCACCTGTGACTCTGGGGCAGATGGTTGTGTTCTATTTTTTGAGGATCATCTTGTATTGTTCATATGTCTCTAAGGTTGCCAGTCACACCCTGAGTTTTAGGACACAGCTTAGTTTAGATCTACAATGGCTGCTATTTTTAAAAGAAAAATTAGAACATAGGTTCTAGGATGGATATTTGCTTTGTTATACATTTGCATGAACAGTCTTTAACTGGTCTGAAATACAATTGGCTGATATGTAGCATATACCAGAAACCCATGACAGCCCCATCGGCCGGCCTGAATAACCACTTCACTCAATCCTACAGGGTCCAGAGTATTCTCAGGGTCCTCTCACTATAATGTAACACTTGGAGTTGTCCTGTGAGGTGAAGCATCTATGTCATCTGGAGTGGCTCCTCTGGGATGGCAGGGGAGTCTCTGTAGGCTTCTCATGTGTGACTCGTAGTAAGCACTAAAATAGTTACTGAATGAATAAACGCCCCTCCTAGAAGACAATTACTGTTATAAATTGGAAGGGCTTACCCTTAATTGACACAGTTGGGTCAGAGCATAAGATCAGCCACAGAGGTTACTAAACCTCTCTGAGCTAGGATTTCTATGTGACATGCTTGTCCTCAGGATTAAATGAATTAGCCACGTAAAGTGTCTAGGACATAGGTGGCATCCAGCAGATGTTAGTTTTCTCCTTTCTTATGGCTGTAAATTAAATCACAAAAGCATCACATTCAAGTGAAAATGGAGGTACTTTCATTGGAAAAAGGGAGAATGGTTGCTGGACAGAGAAGTAGCCATTGTGCACACTGACCCTCTGCACAGCAATTTCTGGGAGAATCTGGACGATTCGGGAATCTGGAAAGTAAAGCACAGCCTGGGCTTTTGTCACCATAGCTGCATCTGTCCCACTGGCAATTATGATAGGAGGAACACCAGTTATTGAGCTCATATATACTGGGTGTTCTGCTGGGCACTGGGACAAGGTGTCATAGCAGTCCACAAATTCAGAGTGTGACCTATTGTCCAGGGCCACACAGCTAAGAGAGAAAAGGCCACGCCTTGGCTGAGAATTGAAGGAAGATGCTTGGGCTCCTACTCCTCTATTTGAGTTCTGTATTTTCTTAGAGGAATTTAGGTTCCTCTAGGAAAAGTCCTAGGTAGACTTCAATTTAGGTGGTAAGAATTTAATTACAGTCACACAGGAACCTAGGAGATGCACAGGAACTTGGAAATGTAGACTTTTGGTTGGGCCTATGGCCAAATTATTAAGTTTCTGTTACTAAGAAAGAGGAGCATAGATAAATAAGTAGACTTATCCAAGGTATATTGGGGCCTGGTCATCCATGCCTGCTGGTCCTCCTCAGGCAGCAGCTGCAGGAAATCTCTCTCTCAAGGCAATGGAAGAGCCTTGAATGGGGAATCTGCTTTCAAATCTATGTTCTCTTCAGGCTTTAATCTTTCTACTGTTTTTGGGTGTCATGAGTGACAGAATTCCAGCCCTGCCGAGAAGGTTCTACTTCCTGTCCGTCCCTGCTCTCCCTGGACCTCAGTCCTTAGTTCCCACATTTGTTCAGGGAACAGTTTGAGTAGACAGTCTCAGCTTTCCCCTAGCTGTGCCATCCAAGTTCTTACAAAGAGCCAGCAGTCCCTGTGGGCTGTGACACCACAGATGGCCAGTGTGGGATTTGGTCTCTGGAGACAAATAGCTACATGCTGTTTCTTACCTCTGTCTTGTTTTTGCATTTTTGGAGGTTTACATTAAGTTAAGTCATGCTACAGTAGCAAACAACTCTGAGATATTACTGGCTATTAATATAAAGCTTATTTCCACACATATGTGTACTGTGTTAGTCAGCTTTTTGTCACTGACAAAATATATAAAAATAAGAAAGGAGGAAAGATTTATTTTGCCTTATTTATTTTGTTTCAGGCCTTGCTCAGTGGGCTGTCTTGCTTTTAGGCCTATGGTCAGGCAGAAACATGGAAGAAGGACATGGCAGAAGAAATGTGCTCACTTCATGACAAACAGGAAGGAGGGCAAGATAGGAGTCAGGAACAAAACACACCCTTCAAAGCCACACTCCTCATGATCTTTCTCATCCAGTTGGGTCCCTCTTCTTAGCAAGCTTACTGAGCCATAACTTGTTCATAGTGATGAGGTCTGAGCTCACAAGGTCTGCTCACACCTTCCACAGCCCCATCTCTGAACACCTGAGCCTTCTGGGGAATAATAATGTTTGAAATCCAAACCATAATATTCACCAAAGATGGGCAGGGGTCTCCATCTCTCCTCACTCTAGGTCCCAGGTTGGTGGAGTGGCCACCATCTTAAAAACAGAGGGGAAGAGGCCTCTATCTGGCAATTAAGTGATCCAGCTCCAGTTGCCAAATGTCCCTTCACACTGACCAGGTCACCCCACCCAAAGGGGCCGAGAAGTGCCATTCTATCACATGCCTAGAATCCAGTGTGGGATAGAATACATAGGGAACAATATGAATGATGACCCCAGGCATCTGTTCCTGGATATCTGCCAGGGGTATCTAATCATCTGTAAAGGGGAAGGAGAGTAAATGTTGGGGGAGGGGCTGTACTGAGCCTCTGTGAGATGTCCCTGAGAAGTGAAGGAACTGAAGAGAAGAAAGACACTGGACAGTTGAGAGTATGGGGCTGATCTGACTGTCTCACCTTCTTGTCTGCTATGGCCTGAATGTTGATGCTCCCTGAAAATTCAAATATTGAAACCTAGTCTCCCATATGGTAGTATGAAGAGGGAGAATTGGGAGAGGTGATAACATGAGCTCCTACGAAAAGAGACCTGTGGGCTGGGGAGATGGCTCAGTAGGATAAGTGCTTCCCTGGCAAGTGCAAGCGTCTGAGTTCAATTCCCGGTTCTGGAAAAAAAAAAAAAAAAAAAA